CAGGGCGAGGGTGATGCTGTGAATCGGGGTCCTGGAGAAGACCCTTGGGTTCAGGTGTGCACCAGGCCCAGAGCCGGAAGTGCATCTGTTCCGGGCTGGGGGGCCCCAGGCTGAGGGTGGTGGAGGGTTGTTATTTTGAAGAAAGTCTAAGACAGATGCCTTTAAAACAAGAAGCAGCTCCCCAGGGTGGGGATAATACAAATGTCATTTTAGTCAGGATGGAATAAACAGCCTCAAAATAAAAGTTTGTTTTGCTCTAGCCAGTGTGACTCAGTTGGTTAGAGCATCGTCCAATAACCAAAAGGTTATGGGTTTGATTCCCCGTCAGGGCACATACCTGGGTTACAAGTTTGATCCCTGGGCAGGGTATGTACAGGTAGCAACCAATTGATGTGTCTCTGTCTCCTGTCCCCCCTCTCTAAAAGCAACGAAAAAGTGGCCTCAGGTGAGGATAATAATAATAATAATAATAATAATATGTTTATGTCTTGCTCGTGGCATAATCTACTTTGGGCTGGTGGCAGAAGGGACCAGGGTCCTGCTCTGCGCAGTCACTCAGAGGCCCAGACTCCTTCATCTTGTGGCTCTGCCATCCTCTAGGGCCTTATTCTCTGCAATAATCTTGTGCAATGGAAAAGGGAGTAGAGGGTGGCATGGAAGGAATTTATTGACCAGACTAGGAGGAGGCACATGACTTCAGCTCACATTCCATTGGTCAGGGCACAGTCATGTGGCTAAGCCCAACTGCGGGGGAGGCTGGGAAATGTAGTCCAGCTGCATTTTCAAGGAGGAAATAATGAACCAGGATTTGGTGAAAACATAGCAGTCTCTTCCACAAATGCCATCCTCTTTGAGTGGATGAGCTGACGCTCACAAAGCCCCTGGCATAGGGCCTGGCCGCTGACGTGTGTGGCGAAGCTGGTTACCTGTCCTGTTAACCCAGAGGTGGCTCACCTGGAGGTCTGAAGGCTGTTCCCAGCCCTCGTCCTGAATGTGTACATTAAACTCTGTGTGTGTGTATGTGTGTGTGTGTGTGTATGTGTGTGTGTGTGTGAAAGAGAGAGAGTGGGAAGAGGAGACGAGAAAGATGGATGGAGAGGCAGTTTTGGTCTAGGGTGAGCATCCAAAGCTTTCACCAGATTCTCAGAACCTGGAGGCACAATGGCTTAAAGAGAGGTGGACTGCTGTCCCATTAAAGCAAAGCTTGGCTGTGTGAAGTTCATGTAGCACGGCCGAGATGCTGAGTACCTTGATCCTTGCGGCCCCACTGCCTGCAGTGGGAGGCAGAACCATGGATTCCCCAGCGCCCACCTCCCCTCCCCCACCAAACGTGTCCTTAGGACAGGACAGAGAAGGCCCCAGCTGATCCAGGACAGTCCCAGTTGGCCACAATGAACGAGGCAGCTGTGCAGTCCGGAAGGGTCAGCATGGGCAGCCAGCTCAGGCGTGCGGGTGCAGAAACGGAGGCCCAGAGCGGGGCCATCTTGCCCAGGGTCACAGAGCAAAAGAGAGCAGAGCCAGGGTTCACATTCACATTTAGTCACTCAGATTAGAGCAACAGAGCCGGACTGTTGGCCGTAAGCAGAAAAGGGCTTCATCTGCAGACTGAGAGGGAGAGCAGGCTGGCCCCAGCAGGGACACAACCAGGGCATCTTGGTGAGGAGGGGACACTGTGACTACCCTCGGGACTGGCCACCAGGATGAGAAATGAGTGCTGGTCCTCGGCAGGGGCTGGTGACCCAGCCAAGGCCGCCGGCCCATCCCTTGGCAAGGGAGGACAGCAGCATCTGGACAGCCCACTCCCCAGGCTGCGCACAGGGGGGGAATTCCACATGAGGCAACTGGGGGGCTTTTGCCAGAATGGGGGGTGTGTGCCGGGCCGGCCAACACGGCAGATGTCCGCTCTGGCCTCTTGCACCGGGGTTGTGCAATCGAAGCAAAACAACCACGGGCTGGTTTCCTGGAGCCCAGAGCCGCTGCCTGGCCGGGGAACCCAGCCCAGAGCACAGCCACAAGGCCAGGAAAGCAGAGGCGCTGACAAACCTGCGTTCTGAGCTCCGCCAGCGGGGCAGCGTGGAGGCCCCACACCAGGCTGGGCTCACACGGAGGGCTCGCCGGGCGGGTTGATAGAGGTTTCGGGAGAGGGACACACGAGCCAAGCCGAGGGTCTAGGGGAGAATTTATTGCCAGAGAGCTGGAGTGGGGGGCTGCCGACCTCACCCCACCCCCAAAGGAGGCCACTGGCTGAGAGTGGGTTCTCCAGCTGGAAGGAGCTAGAAGCCATAGACGGTCAGTGTGAACCTAGCAAGGCTACAGACCCTGTTCTTCAGTGAAACACTAATCTCGGTGTCACGGTGAAGACACCTTGCGGATGTGGTTACAGCCCAGAATCGGTGGACTTGAAGGACAGGGGACTGTGCTCGATATTCTGGGTGGGCCTGACTCTGTTAGTTGAAAGGCCTTAAAGAAAGAGCTGCGGCTTCCCCAACGGGAAAGAACTTCCACCTGTGGACAGCAGCCAGCGCGTCTGCCACTCCGCCCGCCTGCTCTTCAGTTCTCGGCCCGGCTAGCCCTCCCCACGATCGCATCGCCGACTCCGTGCAATAAATCTCTTCTAGGTCTCCCACCGGCTTTGCTTCTCAGGTGGCAGCCTGACTGGGGCAGGGGGAGGGGCGGGCAGGGCTGTGCTGGGAGGTCCCCAGGCCAATCTCTGGGCAGGGGCATCCACACCCTCACAGACAAGCACTGAGTGGGTCATGTGCCTTAGCACTGCTGGGGAACAAGGACAGTGACCCTCTAGAGGCTGCACAGTCCGTGGGGCATGGGCGGAAAGGCAGCTCGGGCCTCTGGGGCTGGTCTGGCAGTTCTGTTCCCCATCCCTTGTCCCTCTGTATAGCAGACACATTATCGAGCTCTGGACCACAAAGACAGGACACTAATTTCTGGGACTTTCAGAACCTGGGGACAGGGAGGTGGCTCTGTCCCCTTGGGCAAATGAGGAGACTGAGGCCTGACTCACTTTTCTGGGGGTTGAGATGGTCCCTGAGCTCTTTGCACCTCCATCTGTCTCAGCGTGACCCCCTCCACCCCACCCCCGTGATGGCACTGGGGTGAGCAGAGGCTAAGGTACCGGTGAGACCAGCAGCCCCGCACAGTGGGGTCCAGGCTAACCCGGTCATGGGGTTGCTTCTAAGGGGCTTCGGGACAGACCTGCACAGGCAGAACGCAGCCCCATCCAGCTAATGGTGCTCAGGGAGGGCAGGGCCTGATGGCGGAGAGGCCCATCTCGATCAGCCTCTCCCCTAGGCCACGTCCCAAAGTCTCTCCCCACCTTGTTAGTAGAGGGACCCCAAGGAGAGGCTTAGAAAGCACTCACCCACCCCACCTTCGTGGAGGGACCTCGGGCCACCCCCAGCAGCAAGTGTAGGGGGCAGCACTGTGCTCGGCAGTCCTCCCCCTGGCACAAGGCAGGAGGCGAGGGCAGGATGGAGAAAGGGGAGGCCCCTGACGGGAGCCACAGGCCGGCTGCAGCAAGCGGTGGGGCCTGCAGGCATTGAGGGCTCCCGGGCAGGTGGGCAGGACATTCGTTTTGCGATCAAACACGGATAGAGAGCGCACCAGGCCAGCCCAGAGGGTTGTTCACTGCTTTTGTCCCCAGGACCACTCTGAGAGATGGAGGTGGGATTATCTCCATCACCCCCCTCTCAGATGCAGAGGGGGGTTGAAGCCCTCTGGTCCCGCCCCATCTTGTCAGTTGCAAAGCCATAAGGTTCTGTCCTCCTCCTCCTCCTCCTTCAGGCCTCCCCTCCCCTGGGCATCATCTCAAAACCCCAAGTCAACAGGACTCTCTGTCTTCTATTATAGGCACGGCCAAGCCCTGCTCCACCCGCTTCTCTTCTCTCTCACTGCTCTGTTTGGTCTTTTGGGCTCCACATGTCCCCCCCGCCCCCCATTATCAAAGCAATAAACACTCCTGATGAAAAGTTTGGAAAGCACAGAGACCTCACGCTGTGGTGTAATTAATCTCTTCCCATGCCCACCGGCACACTCGGGGCTGCTTCTGGGGGGCGCGGCCCCACCTAGAGCAGGGCGGGAGTGTCTCTGCCACCCATCACGGCTTTGCAAACCTTGGGTAGTTTGTTAAGCCAGGGTCTGGCGACATCCACCACAGCTGTCATCTGGGGGCATCTGCTGTGTGCCGTTGCCAGGCTGAGTGTCCGATCGTGCTGTCCTCGCGGCTCCCACTTTTCAGATGAGGACACTGAGTCTCAGGGATGTTGGGCCCCCTGCCCAAGGGGCTAGGTCTGTCCAGGCTGAGCCCCGAGCTTGGCGGCAGCCCTGCTCTCGTGTCCAGGTCTCTGGTTACTTTATCTGAGCTACACTGAGCAATGTCCACTCACTACAGAAAGCAGTGGTGGCGGCAAGCACCCCGACCAGCATAATGCCCAGGTGGACCCTGAGGCTAACCATCATTGTCACCTCAGCTGTGCTCCCAGAGATTCCCATAAGCCTGGTTTCCTTAAAGCAGGGAGGTGGGATTCACTGAGTCCGGGCCGTTTCCCGAGAGCCCAGATTGTGCCAAACGACGCTAGCATCTCCCAAAGGGGCAGGGAACACTGGCTGCTGCGGACGGAGCCCACCCCCATTTGCCGAAGGAGGTGCCTGGGAATCACACAGGAAGCAGGGAGGCCACCTCACCACCAGCTGCCAGCATCGGCCAGACATCTGGGTCCATGGACATCCCAGCAAGCGACACACGGGCCCTTGGGTACTGTCCGCACGTTCTGGGCACTTCCCCCGGCCAGGAGAACCTGCTGTTCATTGGCACGTTGGCCTTGCCCTCCCCAGGCCTGGTGGCAGCTGCCCAGAGTTCCGTTCTCCAAGCCTTGTAGGCCCAGGAGACGCCAAGGAGACAGAATTCCATTGTCAAGCAAGGAATTTCTCCAAGTCTCCCATACAATCATTCGTTCATCTAGCCATTCATTCATTTATTCATGTATTCATCACAAAGCCTTTGTTAGCTTCTTTCTCATTGGTGGGGGCAGTCATCCTCCCTTCCACAAATCCCCAAACCATCACTGGGTCCCCCATACCCCCAGTTCACTGGGGCTGGGCTGATGAGAAAAAAGGAAGCACGTGTCTACGCAAGCCTTGTGAGTGCATCAGACTGGAGCAGACGACGTCTTCAGCAAGAACGTGAGGAGCTGGCCATGACCTCACTGACAAAGGCCCTCAGGGGTCAGTGCTGTTATTAGGAGAGACTTGCTGTATTTCCTCATTAATTCTTCCAAGTAATTCTTACTGAGCTCAGACTTCACCCCCACTCCACGCTGTGCAGGGCCCTGGGGCAACCCCAAGCGGATGAGGCAGGGCTTGCTCTCAGGGGTCTAGAGAGTATGGTGGCCAGCTTCTAAGACAGAAATGTTCCTGGCTGCCCAAGAAAACACACATTCTCCAGCTTCCCTTGTAATTAAGGGTGCCGGTGTGACCAGGCTCTGGCTAGTGGCATGTGAATGGAAGTGAAGCGTGCAACCTCCTGTCCTGCCTTAAAAGGAAGAGGGGCCCTTGTTCCCATCTCTCCTTCTGCTGGCTGGAATGAAGATGCAACAGCAGGAACAACAGCAACCGTTTCACATCACGAGGTAGAAGCTGTGTACTGAGGATGGCAAAAGAGCAAGTGAGTACGAGTCTGGGCCCCTGACACTATGGAGCCACCATGTCAACCCTGGGCTGGTTGGTGTTGTTATAGCAGCAGGACTTGTGTCACAACATACAGCCATCGCAACACAGCACACGTGATTCCAGTGTGGCCATCAGTACAACTGGGACATCCCCTCATTTGATGGACCTTTGGGTAGTTTCCAGTTGGGGCATCGTAAGTACAGCTGTTATAAACATTCCCATACAAACTTTTCTGGGGACGTGTGCGCTTATTTCTTTTGAGAAAATGTCTAGAAGTGGAATTACTGAGCTCTAGGGAAAGTGTGTGCCTCACTTTATAGGAAACCAGTGAAACTTTTTCCAAAGTACTTGTGACATTTTGTGTTCCCATCAGCAATTTATGAGCATTCCACTTGTTCCACGTTCTCACCAACATTTCTTGTTGTCAGTCGTAAAATTTTAATCATAAACTATCTTAATGAGGGAGGGAATAATATAATAAAACACCTTCACTGTGAGATTTTGTAGTAGTACCTCGTGGACTTTAATTGGCATTTCCCAGATGACCGATGACGTCGAGCACTTTTAAATGTGCCCGCTCGCCTGGGCACCCCTTCCTCTGTGAAGTGGAGGCAGGTGCCCTTGGACCACTGCGCTGTAGGTTCGTCTGTCTCATCTAGACACCCGCCCATCTCTAGTGTGTGGTTTCCCATTTCACTTTCTTAACAGTAAGCAGGCGTGTTCGACTTTGGTGAGGTCGAATTGTTGATTTTCTTATGGTGAGTGCCGTCTGTGTCCTGTCTAAGAAACTTGGTCCAGCTCACGGGTGATGAAGATTTTCTCCTGCGGCTTCTCCTAGAACTGGGGTGTTGAACTCATTCTCACCGGGGGCCACATCAGCCTTGCAGTTGCCTTCAAAGGGCCGACTGTAATTTTAGGCCTGTATAATTGTAACTACTCCTTAACTAGGGGCAAGGAGCTCGGTGCTGCTGCCAGGTAGAAACAAGGTTCTGGATTAAACCAGGCGGGGGGAGGGGGGCGGTGCTGGGTTCAGCCCCCGGGGCCTTGTGTCTGTCACCTGCGTCCCAGAAGCTTTATAGTTTTAATTTTTATGTTTAGATCCTGATCCACTGTGAATGAAATGTGTATAAGGTGGAAGGTCAAGGTTCATTTTCTCAAGATGGACGTCAAGTAGATCTGGTACCATCTGCTGAAAAGACTTCTTTTCCCATGAAAATGCTGTGACCCCTTCATCAAAAATCCAGGAGCCAGAAAAGCGCGGGCCTGCCGCCGGCGCTCTAGTCGGTCAGGCCCGTCTACTCGCCTTGCCTGGATCTCGAAATCAGGTGGCGTAAGTTCATCACAGAACAAGTTTTTCGGCTGCTTTAAGTCCTTCAAATGTCCACGTCAGCACTAGAATCAGCCTGACATTTTGTGTGTTTTCCCGAGGCTGCTGGGGTTACAACGGGGGCTGTGCTGAACCTGCAGGGCGGTCGGGGAGAACCGACCTCTCAGCCGCATGGAGTTTTCTGATCCATGAACGTACTATCTCCTCCCATTCATCTTAGGACTTTTCAAAACTCATTCTTTTGTTAAATTTATTACTACTAAGTATTTTATGCTCTTTTGTGCTATTGTAAATGGAATTTTTTAAAATTTTTCATTTTCACCACTACATACCTATTAGAATGGCCAAAATCCAGAACACGGACAGCACCAAATGCCGGCGAGGACACGGGGCAACAGGAGCTCTCGTTCGTTGTTGGTGGGAGTTCAACATGGTGCAGCCCCTCTGGAAAGCGGGCTGGTGGTTTCTTACAAAATTAAACATATTTTTGTCATACAATCCATGCAGTCATGATCCTTGGAGTTGAAAAGTCATGTGCACACTAAAGCCTGTGCACAGATGCTTGTAGAAGCTTCATCCATAATTGCCAAAACTTGAAAGCAAACAAGCTGTCCTTCAGCAGGTAAATGGATAAATAAATTGTGGTGCATCCAGACTTTGGATTCTGTTTAGCGATAAAAAGAAATGAGCTATCAAACCACGAAAAGACATGGAAGAAACATAAGTTCACATTGCTAAGGGAAAGAAGCCAGTCTGAAAAGGCTGCACACTGTATGATTCAAATGATATAATGTTCTGGAAGAAGCAAAACTATGACAACAATAAAAATACCAGTGGCCGCCAGGGGTTAAGTGGAGGGAGGGAAAAGTAGGCGGAGTACAGGGGATCTTTGGGTCAGTGAAAACATTCTGCGTGGTACTGTAATGGTAGGTACATACCATTGCACATTTGTCCAAACCCATGGCGTACACAGCACTAGGAGAGAACCTAATGTAAGGCATGGCTTGGGGTGAGCACTATGTGTCAATATAGGTTCATCAATTATAGTAAATGTGTCACTGTGATGGAGGTGTTGATAATAGGGGAAGTTATGCATGTGTGGGAACAGGGGCTATATGGGAAATCTCAACAAATTAGAAGAAACCAAACAGAGTGTGTTTCCTGCACAGAAGGGAACTGACGTAGAAATCAATGACAAAAGTCTCCAAGCACGTGGAAACTAAACAATGAGCTTTTAAATCATCTATAGATCAAAGAAGAAGTCTCAAAGGAAATTGGAAAAAAAATATAGATCTAAATGGAAACAAAAACACAACATCTCAAAATTCATGGGATGTAGCTAAAGCAGTGTGATGAGGGAAAGTCATAGCACTAAATGCTTATGTCAGATAGAAAGCCTCAGGTCACTGAGCCAGTCTCTCACCTTTAAAAAACTAGACATTAGAAATAATTTTATGTGAATGAAATATCCCATCTACAAAGTATGAGCTTTAAACCCAGTTTTGATCTAATAGCATACTAGTTAAATACAAAAAAAAAAAGTATTTAATGAAATTAGAAAAAGAAGAGCAAAACAAACCAAAACCCAACAAGGACAAAAATAAATAAATAAATAGATACAAAAGCAAAAATTCATAAAATTAAAACCAGAGAAAATCATAGAAACAGAAATCTGGTTCTTTGAAATGATCAATGAAATTGAGAAACCTTAGCATGGTTGGCAAAGGGGAAAAAAGAGAGAAGACACAAATCATCAGTATCAGGAATGGAACAGGGGTACACTGCAGACACTGAAGGTATCAAAAAGGTAACAAGGGAATGCTGTGAACAGCTACACCCATACTGATCTGACAACTTAGATGAAAAGAACCAGTTGCTTGGAAAGCGCAAACTATCACAGCGCACCCAGTCCGAAACAAATCACTGACTAGTACTATAACTATTCAAGAAATCGCGTTCATAAGAAGAGAAGGGAACACTTCCAATTCATTGTATGAGAGCATTATTATCAAAACCAGGTAAAGCTACCAAAAGAAAAAATCTTCCAGAACTAACAGGTGAGTTCACTGGGTCCAGGACACAAAAATCAATTGTATGTCAATATATTAGCAATGAATCATGAAAACAAATTTTAAGTGTAATATCATCTATCACTGCTCAAAAAATAAAATACTCAGGTATAAATAACCAAGCATGTGCAGGATTTGTGTGTGGAAAACCATAAAATACTGATAAAATTTTTTTTAATATCTAAGTAAAATAAATGGAGAGAGAACTCATGTTCATGGATTGGAAGAATCAGCATAGTAAAAACGTCAGCTCCCCCCAAGTTCATATCTAAGTTTAAGGTCATGCCTATCAAAATGCAAGCGAGATATTTTTTAGACACAGAAACATCATTTTAAAACATATATGGAAAATCAAAAGAATGAAAATGTCTAGAACACATTTGAAAAAGAACAATGAAGTAGGAGGAGTCACTCTACCCAAGTTTAAAACATTAAACAGCAGTAATCAAGTCTGTGTGGCATGAGGGGATAGCCACGCAGATCACCGGAGCAGCGGGACCTGTGTCACAAAGAACCTGTATCTAGGTTATACAAAGAATTCTCGAAACTGAACGGTAACAAACCACCAACACTCCACCTAGAAAATGGGCAAAACACATGAAAGATATTTCACCGAAGAAAGTATATGGGAGGCAAATAGACACATAAAAAGATATTCAACACCACTAGCCTTTGGGAATGTGTAAATTTAGGCCACGACGAGATAACATTACTATTAGAATAGCTGAACATTTTTTTAAATATAGCGACAATATCAGATGCTGGCAAGGATGCAGAGAAACTGGGTCATTCATGCATTTCTTTGGGAATAAAAAATAGCATGACCACTCTGCAAAACAGTCTGACGGGTTCTCAAAAACCTAAACACACTGTTACCATGTAAGCCAGTAATTGAGATCCTTGGCATTTGTTCCAGAGAAATAAAAACTTATGCCTACACTAACACCTGTACATAAATGTATGTTCATAGCAGCTTCACTGGCAATAGACCCAAACTGGGAGCAATGGGAACACCCACCAGGAGCCCAGCGCTCAAACACGCCCTGGCTGGAACAGTGCTCAGTAACAAAAAGGAGCGGACTCTGGCGCACACGGCTTGCACGAATCTCGAGGGGACCACACTGAGTAGAGAGGCCACTCTGAGAAGACCACATGCTGTGTGACTTCAGTTGCATAACATTATTTAAGTGACAAAAGCAATAGGTGAGCAGTGCCCAGGGGAGGGCGGGTCGGGCAGGGATTCAGTATGATTACCAAGAGGCGACATGAGGGAGATCTCTGTGGTGTTCGGATGTCCTGTGTCTTGATTCCTACGGCAGCGGCAGGCTTCTACCCAGGAGATAAAACAGCACGGACCTCTACACACGCTCCTGCCAACCCTGATCTCACAGTGTTGCGGCCTGTTCCACCACATAAGACACGACCCCTGGGCACCAGTCAAGGGGTGCCCAGGTCGCTCCAGCTACCTGTGCCGTGCCTGTGAAGCTGTGATTCTTTCAGAAAAAAATGGTTTTGTTCTTCTAAAGAGGAAGAGGGAAAAAAACACGCCAACCCAAGAATTTTATACCCAGCCAAGATACCCTTTCAGAATGATGATAAAGTGGTTATTTTTAGATTTCACTAATTTTTCTTTAAACGAAGAGACTTTTCGCCAGGCAACCCGGCCTGCAAGCAGTGCCAAAAGGGAAAGGGTTCAAGATGGAAATTCAGATTCTCAAGGAGAGCATAAGAAATGATAAATGTCTGGGTGAACAGAAAAGATCCCTTTTTCCTTTTAATTTCTGTAAAATATATAGAGATATCTAAAGCAAAAACCATACACGTATACACAGGAGAACGGTACAGTGAAGGGTGGCGGGCGGGAGCCGCGTGACCTGCGCCACAGTGAGGACGAGACGTTTCCCACGGAGCGGCTCCATATGGACCTCAGCTGAACAGTCCAAGATGCAGGGACGTGCATTTGAACCCCTGACGCAGTGAGAACAACAGTAAGACAACCCAGAGGGGTAGGAGAGGAGGTACAAAGGCACAAAGTGCAGGAGGCACATTCCATATAAAGACACAGGTTGAAAGTAGACCGGCAGGTGAAGAGACACACGGCAACGGCGAGGCGAGGGGGCGTGGTCCCAGACTCTCCCACGAACCTCTCTCTGACTTCACTCCCGGCACTGCCCGGGGTCCCCTCCCGGGGAGGCCTGCGGAGACACCACAGTGGGGTGGGAGCAACAGGGTGCTGGGCGCTGGGGCTGCGTGACCTGGCCCTGCCCGTGGCATTCCGCCCACCAGGGAACCGCGGCCTGGGTTTGGCACCTACACAGGGTGCTCAGCGGGGAGCAGCAGATTCTGCGGGTCCTTGGGGGGTTTGTTGGTTCGGGAGGCTGCCCTTGTCTTGGCACGGAGGGATTCGGGCAGGGATTTATGGAGCCCTACTGTGTGCCAGGCCTGTGCCAGGCCCTGGGGACACATCAGCGAACAAAACAAACCCAGACCCTCGCCTGGAGGACCTTACATTGAGACAGGTTGAGGAGGAAAACAGTAAAGAGCCGGCAGCATAAAACAGGAATGATAACGTTTGTCAGAAGGAGATGAGTGCTGCGGGGAAAGCAAGTGGGGGGCGCAGGGCTGGGGCGTGGGGGGCTGGGGCAAGCAGGACTGGGCTGGGCAGGTTGCTCTGGGTAGGCTTCAGGGAGAGGTGAAGTTTGAGCCAGGACTTGAAGGAGGGGCGGGAGGGGACCACCCTGTCAGATATCGTCTGGGGAGGAATCCAGGCAGAAGGAACCAAGGGAAGCCTGCAGGGTGCTGGGAACAGCAATGGGGCTGAGGGGGCATCTTCGGGCCACCTGGTCTCAGGGGAGGGTGACTGAAGACACCTGCCACTTGGGCCCCCTAAGGCCAGGCCCCAGCTCTCTCCCTTGACTGACAGATGCAGGCCTCCCAGCGGGCGACCCTCTGGCCCTGCCCTTCCTAAAACCCAGCACCCATCGCCATGCCCACCGTGTGGGGCTCACCCCCTAGGTGCACCCCCTAATGGACGTGGACAATGTTCACTCCAGGTCTCATCCTTGGACACATTTGTTCTCAAACCCTCCTCCGAGGCCTCTCACGAACCCAGAATCATGGCCACGCTCCCAACACGTCCATCCCCACTCCCAGCAGGGCCCGGCCTGGCTACTTGTCACCACTCACGGAGTCCCCACCTCCCTCGCTTGCTGACGGACCTGTGTCCCTCCAGAGGCCCCCTCCCAGCACATCTCCAGCGCCCGCCTTATCCCATGTCCCCCCACCCCTGGCTGGTATTAGCCAGGCCCATGAAGGAGCATTCCCTATAACACAGGTATTTGACATTCCAAATAAACTCCTGCAGCCCCCGTGAACCATCTCGACTGCTGAAATGCCCACAGGACTTGGGATTAGAAGCTCTACAGCACGTGCGAGATGAGGGGATTTTATTTAGTGTTTAGGATTTGTTCAGGTCTGTGTGGCGGGGAGGTGTTGCCCAAATATGTATTTAAATCAAGTAACTTAATCCACAGAGTTCAAGGCTGAAATTGCCCTAGGAAAAGGGTATTTGCATACACTAATCTCTTAACAGCCACTAGGAAGGTTGTGTGGGAGAAAGCCTGCGACCTGGCCTGGGAGGAGCCCCCAGAAATCACCAGGTGGTGCTCCCGCCCGCCTCCCAGCCACACACCTGGCTGGCCAGACTGACTGACAGACGGGGCCTGCACCTGCCCTGAACTTCCGGTGCCTGGTGTTTTTCTGCTGAAGTAACAAATGGACAAACATGTGCACTGTAGGAATGATGCTGTAACCGAAAAGCGTGGGTTTCACGGCACAGCCCACTACTCTCCTTTTTCAACAGACACTGGTGGGAGGGACAAGAAGCAACCGTGTGGCCTTTGCTGGTTGGGGAGAACCACACGGGGCGCTCTGCGGGGAGAGGCGTGAGGACGCCCAGTGTTCCGGACGTTCCCTCCGGAGACCTCCCCGAGGAGGCCGGGAGCAGAAGGAAGCAGCGAGGGAGAGGGCGTCAGCCAGGTGGGAGGAGCTGGGGGGGAGTGACAGTGACCACAGCCTGGGGGTCGAGGGTGGGTGGGCACCAGGGCAGCAGGCAGCATTCTGGCCCTGGGGTCTTGGAGACTTTGCCTTTGTTCTGAGCACAAGTGAGGGGCAGTGGTGACGATGTGGGAAGCAGAGCCGCCTTTCTGGAGCAAAGACGACCAGGTGACAAGGTGAAGACATGTGAGGGCCCCACCCCCAGACGGCAGCCCACGCAGCCTAATTGCACACACGCGCACACGTACTCACTCTCATTCATGCACACTCACACATGTACACATGCTCACACATGTGCACACACGCACACCTGTACCCTGAAGGCAGGAGGGAGCCTCCAGCCTCAGCACGAAGGCAGGTCAGTTGGAGGGCCAGCCTTTGCTGACGTTGACCATGCCGCAGGCCAGGTGGGGAGGCAGGTTTCCCTTCTCAGCAGCTCCAGGGAAGGAGCCAAAGACTAAGACCCACCTGCAAAGGTGCCGAGGGCTCCTCGGGGCGTGAGGCTCTGGGCCTCACTCCAGCGGGCCCGCCAGGGAAGAGGTGGCTGCGGCCTGTCTTCATCACCCTCCGTAGCAGCAGCATCAACAGCTGGCACTTCTTGGGAACCTGGGGTGGCCAAGTTCGTTTCACTCCTTCTTGAGAGATGGCAAAACCTAGGAAGTGGCTTCCCCAAAGTCGCCGAGTTCAGAAATGGTGGGCGCTGGGTCTGAACTGCTGTCCTGGCTGAGTGCCCCGTGGTGCCCCTTCACCAGGTACTTGACCCCTCCCTGCCCAGTGGGGAGTTGAAGCTCAGCAGAATCTCATTCACTCCAGGCCTCCTCCATTGAAAATTTCTGAGTGGGGAACTCTCCTGTGCACCAGGCTTTACTGAGCAACAAGCTGCAGAGGTGAGACTGACGGTAACGGCACAGCTCACCCGGGAGCGGAGGTGGCTCCCGAGGGCACACAGTGTTCTCACCGTCAGTGCGCCACTCACACCTGAGTCTTCGCCGAAGCAGCCCCCCCCCCCGTGCCAGCACCGGATGGGGGGCACCCCTGGGTCTGGCTGGAGAATAGCCAGCTGTGGGCTCCTGTCCGTGTGACCTGCAGCCAGGTACGCCCCTCTCTGAACCCCAGTTACCCCATCAAAGGTGTAAAAACCACGGCTGCCCAGCAGAGCTGTTGTGAGCGCTGACCTATAAAAACATGGTAGAGCTCCGTGTGCGGTAGGCAACCAGGAAGTCAGAGCTGTTCTACGACAGTTAAAAAGTACCTCTTGAACCAAAGAGCCGGCATCTCAGTCTTCTCAGCAATTCGCACTGGTCTTCACAGAAATCGGCTCGAGGTCCACATGCAGCTCTTCCCCCGGCTCAGGGTGGGTCCCCTTGGCCTGTCCCACCAGAGAGTATGTATGTATCCAGCCCCTGAGCCGGCTCAGGCTCCCTGCTGAAGGTGGGCACACAGCGGGAGGCCTGGAGAGAGGGACAGGATTCTTGCCTGCAGGACTCACGGTCCAGCTATTGAGGGTGAGTGGCTGGCAAGGCGACAAAGACGGGTAGGAGGTGGCCAGATAAAATACAAGATGCCAAGTTAGAGTTGAACTTGAGGTAAACAACCGATGTTTCAGTATAAGTGTATCCCATTCGATATGTGGGATATACTTATACCCAAGTTAGTCCTTATCTGAAATTCACATCTAACTGGGCGTGCTGCATTTTTCTTTTATTTTTATTGCTAAATCCGGCAACCCGACAGAGCAGGCTTTTCAGCTTTGAGCAGTGCGCCCGCACCTTCCGCAGAAGTCTCTCCCCTGAACAGCCAGCCTGTGGGCTCAGCAGGAAACAGGGGGACGAGCCCGCGAGATGAGCACATGGGCCCCTTGCCTGGGTGACTTGTCAAGGCCTAAAACACAGGAAGGAAGAGAAAGCCGTGACACTCTAGGAAGAGGAAGAGGACGTAGGGCACCTGGGTGAGGCAGAGGGACGTGGGCTTCAGAGGAGGGAGCTTAGGCCAGGAGGGGAGAGCCAGGCAGGCTTCATGGAGGAGGCAGAATTCAATCTCAAAGCACAAGCACAAGGTAGCTGGACAGAGAGGGGCTGCTGAAGGACCCCAGTTTGGGGAGGGGAGAGGCTCCCCTCCCGGTAACCCGGCGGCCGGCCCGGCAGTGCTGTCTCCCACCCCAAATGCCACCTCTCACAAAGGCCGTTGGCACGTGGGAGACACGCAGGCAGAATGTCGAGTGAAAGTACAAGACCCAAAGCAGACGGCAAAGGTGGGGCTGCAGCGCTGACCTGGACCATCTGACCCGGCATACAGTCGGCACTCAATAAACGTGCGAGTGACCCGTTCGATGCCATGTGGGCCCAAGGGAGACCCCTGCAGAATGGAGTGGGGAAATGGACGTCGGGTCCGGTGAAGATGGGGTCCCTGGGTGCCAGGCTCACCCAGTGACCTTGAGTGACTGCTCCTTCCGGACTCCTGGGTGCCTTTCTGTCCCCATGTCCCTCCCCACCACAACACACTCCCATCTCTCCATTCCTTCCCCTCCCAAATGACAAGGACTAGGTAACCAGAAGTGACACTACAGCCTCTAGTCCCCTCACTGGTCTTACTGATCTCACCCCCAGCAAGCACCGCCATGGTGCCATTACAGATGAGGACACTGAGCCCTGGGGCACAGGCCTGGCCATGGTCTCCCCTGGGAGGGGGCAGACCATGGCCCTCCACTCTTTGCCCCCTGCATGGCCAGTCTGTTCTTTACAAACACCCCACATTTTTTCTGGGGCTCCCTCCACGGAGGTGCCCTCCCACCCAGCGCTTCTGGCTGAGCCTCGCCCCATGCAAAGCCCGCGATGCCTGGGATACGAAGATGAAGTTTGTGTAAGTGACAGCAATTACCATCATTGAATGTCACATGCAGACAAATATTGGCAGGTGTTAAACGTGTATGAAAATTTCAAGTAAAGAAACTTAAAACGGAACATTTCTGTGCATTAATCCAACCTGGCCTGCGGACTGGAACAGATCCCTGCAGCTCTATTTCTGTTCGGCTCCCAGTGCCATGTCACCGTCAGAAGAGAGAAGCAAGGTTGTGGCCATCGGGGTAGCGCATGCTGATGGGCACTGTGTCCAGCACAGGCTCGGAGTCGGAATCCCCGTACCTGGACTCCCAGGCCCGGACAAGGGACCTCCCCCTCCTCAAGGCACAGCCGAGGAGCCCACGGGACCTGCTCAGGCTGCAGCCCTCCCTGCAGATCTCTCGCTTTCTGGAGCGTGGTTGGCAGGGCAAGGGGCGTGGCCACCACAGGCAGTTTCCGCTCACTCAGCCGCGCCCACGGGGTGCAGGGTGTGAAGGGAGTGCCCCGAGAAGGTGACCCGGACAGCGTGAGGAGACTGACAGGGGTTCATGTGGACCTGGGGCACCCCCTTCGCTGAGGGGAGTCGGCCACCAGAAGGAACAGCTGCTGGGGCTGCTCGCCTGGTGCCGGCCAGAGCAGGGTCAGCAGGAGGCTGTGAGGCCCCAGGGCAGGGCAAGAGCCTCCCAGGGAAGGTGCGGTCACCTGTCCCTCACTCATTTATCAAAGTGGTGCCATACATGACCCATGTTCGGCTCACTGCCAAGGCCAAATCCACAGCCCTGCCCCCAGGGGGTTCAGAACAGGTCAGCAGAGCAACACAGAGGTGGGAGCAGGCCGAGCCTGGTGGGCCGGCAAGGACTTCGGATCCTCCTCGCCCTGTGATGAGAGCCACTGGAGGGATCCGAGCCAGCGAGAGGTGATTTGACTTGCATTTTAAAAGGATGGTTTGGGCTTCGGTGTGGAGAAGGGACTGAAGGGGGAGGAGGGTGAAGAGGATGGAGCCGGTCAGTTCCTGCAGAATCAGAGGCGGCGGCTGCCCTGGGGGTGGGGGGACTCCCAGGAGACCTGGAGGGGGCCGGTTCCAGGTGTGTTTCTGAATCAGATGCTGGTTGGGACGACGTGGATGTGAGAGGTGGGGGCCAAGGCCGACAGCGAGAGTTGGGAAGTGAGAAAACAAAAGCATGGAGCTTCCGTGTGCTGAGGGGCAGGCGGGCAGGTGCCCAGCCGGTGGGGGACACAACCTGGGACAGCTGGGCGACGGTGAGAGCTGTGCCGTTACGGAGAGAGAGCGGGGCCAAAAGTGTGTGTAACAGAGACCAGGGTGGAACCCAATGAGAAGAGAAGGAGTGGGGAGGAGAAGGTCAAAAAAAAGGGGTCAAAGAAAAGATTGCAGGAGTCAAGAATTACGGAGTCAAGGCTACAGAGGAAGCATGTAGGGGTCATAAAACGGGAGGCTGGAGCTGGAGGCCACCAGTGGGGGAGGGTGGCTGGTACAGGCAAAGCCAAAGTCCAGGTGTCCTCAGGGCAGTGGCAGTGAGGCAGGAGCTGAAAGGTCTTTGGAGGGGAGCATTTCAGGAAACTGCGGTGCAAGGGCGGGAGAGGGGAGGGCGAGTCTGTGGAGGGCCCAGAGCAGCCCCGCTTGCACAGGGCTTTCCGCCCATTCCGGGCGGGGAACTGGGGGAGAGGCGGGAGGTTGGGACCCGGGCGTCCGAGCCGACCACCCTCTGTCCCAGGAAGCAAGAGCATCCCTTGATGGAGGCTTCTGGCACAGGCCACCTTCAAAGTCCGGGGCTTTTTTGTTTTTTGTAAGACACACATAATACAAACTTTACCAGCTACACCCCTGCAAAGCGAACAGTGAGTGATGTTGCACACATTCACAGTGGGGCACAGCCCCCGTCCTGCATCCCAGAGCTCTCCCCCTCTTCCCAACGGCCCCTGTGAAACTGCAGCTTCCCACCCTCCCCTGCCCCCACCCAGCCCCGGACAACCACCATTCTGCCCTCTCGCTATGAATCTGACGGTTCCAGGGACCTCAGAGCAGGTCCACCCGCAGTATTTGTATGGTTGTGGGTGTACAAGTATCTCTTCAAGGCCCTGCTTTCAGTTCTTTCGGCCACACAGCCAGAGCGGCAGGGGCGGGTCCCTGAGCCCTCTGCTCAGCTGGTGGGGGACCCCTAGCCTGTCCTCAGCAGCCGCCCCGCTCTACCTCCCAGCGGAGGGATTTCTGCACATGCTCGCCAGCACTTGTTATTCCCTCTTTATTTAGTGGTAGTTTGTCGACCATCATTGTCTTCGGTAAGGCGAAGGCGTGGGGCGGGGGAAGGGGCAGCTTGAGAAGAGCCAGAAACCTGCAAGCTTGAGGGGGCGGGGGCTTGGGGGCAGGAACAAGCAAGTGCCACGTGTGGCCGAGGTGCGGGCGTGTCCTCAGAGATAGGCTGGAACTGTCGCTGGTGAGAGGGGACCCTGGAGAGCCTCGGGTGCCCTGGGAGAAGCCTGGGTGTCACTCAAGAGGTGGAGGGAAGAAGGGGGGGGGGCTCCCGCAGGGCTCCGAGTGGAGAGCGATGGGGCCACGGCCTGGAACACAGATCCATCCTTGGGTGTGGGCAGCCGGGGGCCGCGGGGAAGAGTTGGGATGGGAAGTCGGACAGGAGAGGTGGGGACCAGGAAGGGAAAAAAGGGCACTGCTGAGGGGTGCCCGCCACCATCAGCTCCAACTGCAGGGAAGCCCCGCACGGGGGCTGCCCCAGGCCAAGCTCACCCTCTGCCTCTGTCCCCTCGGCTGACCCGGTCAGGTGGGTACACAGCTGCCCGTTTCCAGATGAGCAGACTGGGGCTCCGAGAGCCTAAGTCGCTTGCCCAAAGTCTCAGTGCCAGTAAACGGCAGAGCCGGGACTCAGTCTCCAGTCTGTTTCCCGTGACCCCCACAAGCATTTATCGGACGCCTGCTGGGTACCAGGCCCCACGCTGCCAAACTCATTGCTCTGAACAGCTACTCCACACCGGCTGCAACAGTGGCCGCCCTCCGAGCTGCTGTAGGACCCGGAGCATGAAGGTGATTGGCCAGGGCGTGACGAACCTGGACAAGGACCGGAAACTGGCTAAACCCTGAGCGCTCCTGCAGCGCGAGCTGGCAGACTCTCCCCACGCAGAGTCTGCGGCCTGGGAGGGTTCTCTGCCAGCTCGGGAAAGAAGAGGGCAGTCCCAGGACCCTCCGCAGCCTCCCCTCCCCAGCGGACAAACCGTGGGGTTCCTACTGGTGGGCATCTGCACAAAAGGAGAGCAGAGAAAGACTTCCATCCCAGGCAACTGCCGTTCTTGTAGGTGGGAGCGGCCAGATTTTGCTGGCAAGTTCCTTTGGTTCAGCCTAACGGAGTCACCAGCCACGTCACTTCTGTTCCTTCACCCAACATTTGGCGTGTTCCAGCCCAGTGCTGACTGTGGGGACACGGAGAGGGACAAAGCACCTGTGGCACCTGCCTCCTGGAGCCATGGCCTGCTGGGGTCACAGACACAAAACACACAGGTACAGGTGCAGTTTCCAGGGCAAGGGCAGCCGTGTGGGGCAGGGGGACAGCCTCCCTGATGGCCTGCCGCCCAAGCGGACACCCCAAGCGAGAGTAGGAGCTGCCCCAGCACAGCGGCAGGAGGAAAGTGTGGCCAACATGCAAACCAGGGGCTGGGGGACACCGGGGGAGTGGACAGAGGAGTACGCCCAGGGTTCACCAGGGAGGACACAGGCTGGCAGACAAAGGGCAGCCAGAGTCCCACCATCTGGAACGCCGAAGGTCAAGGCAAACTGTCCTTAACGCCAAGAACAGTTTAACAGGCATAGAATCTTTGAAACTTCTCCTGGTGCGTTTTCCCTTTTGCTAGTTCTGTATTTTTGTCGTTCTTCTTCTTCCCTCTTCAGCCACCACCATGAAACAAACCAGAAGGCTTTTGCCCCATAAAGGACCGGTAGACAACATCCGTACCACCGAGTAATGAAGGAGGAGAGTCCGACATATGAATACGTCCTGCTAGGCAGCCACGGGGAGTGGAAGAGAGGAGAGGGGCAGGACAGGGGGATGGGGCAGCGTCGGGGGAGGCAGGAGGTCGGTCTGGAAGTCCTGGGCAGTAGAGGGATTTGAACAGGTTTAGGGGGTGTGAGCACATTCAAGCTGCTGCCTGTGCCCCAAGGATGGGTCCCCGTCGGGCCTGGCACTGCATCCCACATGGCAAGGCTGCAGCAGAGCGGAAGCGTCCGAGGGTCCCCGGGGGCAGGTGGGACTGAGGACAGCCTCACAGAGACCCCCACTGCAGCTGAGAGGACTGGGGGTGATTTTACGGGTTGAATTGTGTCCCCAAAAGATATGTACCCGTGAAACGGGGCCTTTGCCAATGTAACCAACAAAGATGGAGTCAGGAAGGGCAAGTTAACCCCACATGGCTGTGGCCTTACAGGAAGAGAACACCGTGTGAGTGTAGGGGCGGAGATCCGAGGCAGGCAGCCACATGCCAGGACTGCCAGAAGCTGGATCCTTCCCCAGGGCTTCGAAGGAACTGTGGCCCTGGAGACCTGTTGATCTCAGACTTCGGGCCTCCAGAACTGTGAGACGACACATTTCTATTGTTTTAAGCCCCCCAGTTCGGGGCACTGTGTTACAGCAGCCACAGAAAACTAATACTGATTACATGAGGCTTGACTCCGAGATGAGACATTCAGGCAAAACGAGGTCCATAGTCAGCATCAGCAAAGGCCAACACAGTGTCCACAGACCAGTGCCATCCAGGCCAGCCACTCTGAGGCACGGGGACAGTGAGTGAGACAAGACACACCCTGCCCAACCCCTTTAGGCCACATACACTTTTCCTCACAGCCGGACACCACCTGAGGAAGAAAACAGAAAGGAGACCCCCCCCAACGAGCATAGAGGGACCACCCTGACAGGCAGTGAGGGCTTCCAGGGACCAGAGATTTGCCTGGAAAAGACTGTTCTACAAAGCAGGAGACTGGCTTCCCCCATGCCTGCCACCATCAAGACATCGGCCGGAAAGGGAGCCAGGAGAAAACGAGACCACGGACAGAAAATCAAGGCATTTCGCGTACCCTGGTCCAAGAACGTGCATTCCCTCCTACCACACGTGTTTCTCTGAACGGCCCCCCTGGAACCGGGCCCCTCCTTCAGCACCAACACAGGAGCGACTCACAAGGCAGGAAGCCCAAGTGGAGGGAACCGGTGCCTCTCCGGATGGGGTGCCCTGACTCGCCACGCGGGTGTCCACCAGAGCAGGACATAAAAACAAGACGTTGGAAGCAACTGAAACGCCCAACCACAGGGGACGGGGGAGATAAACGCCACTGAAATCATGCCGCAGGAAGTTGTTTAATAACATGGTTGTGATCAATGCTATGTCATAATCATAATAAATCAGCCTAAAAACTGTATCTACCGTATGATTCCACTATTTATGTGGCGTGACTGTATCAGGTCAACTGCCTTAACAAAATCCCGGAGTTCAAAGACAACCCCACAAAGGTTTATTTCACCCTCATGGGACTCTCCAGGGAAGGTGCGGTCTCTCTACTCCACAGGGTCATCGGAGAACCCAGGCTTCCCCCTCAGGGATGTCCACCCTTCCGGCATCTCTGGGCCACGCTGAAACAAGAGTTGTCTTGGGCCACACATTAAATGCACTGCAACATGTAATCACACACACACACAAATCTCAATGTTTTAAGTAAATTTACGATTTTGTGTTGGGCCACATTGATAGCCATCCCGGACACCCCTGCCTGGGGTGCTCACTGAGTCCTCCACTGAATCCTTGGCATCAAGTGAACAGCAGGAGAAGAGAGGGCAAGGAGGATCCAGTTATATGAGCCAGGCCCAGAAGTGGGTGACATCACTTCCTCCCACATTCCATTGGTCAGAACTCAATCACCTGCCACCCCGCTCGCAGGGGAAGCTGGGAAATGCAGTCTAGCTGTGTGCCAGACAGAGAAGAGAAAGGGGGTTTGCTGAACACATTAGATCTGCCACCATCAACGTGCATAGGAACAAATACTGCAAAGAAATCACATTTTAACTAATTATTTCTGGGTGGTGAAAGTCTGGGTATTCAAAATATTTTCTTATTTATGTCACTTGGAGTTTTCAAATACTCTGAAATAAGTATCTAGTACTTTTGCAGAGACAAAAAAACATGTAATTTAGTCACTGACCGAATGTTCTCCAGGCTTCCTTTGGGATTTGGACGGGCTCGTGTATGGTTAAGTTTTAGGGCCAGACTTCCAGGTTCAGTGGTCAAGGAAAGTTACATCACCTTCTTCAGCCTCAAAGTCTCTGCACCTGCAAATGGAAAATAGAAATATACTGGTGGCTTCACACAAAAGAAATTCGGTGTCTCACAGTCCAGGAGAGAAAAGTCTGAAGTCACCGTGTCAGGGGACCCACACTTCCTCTGAGTCCCTCGGAGGACCCTTCCCTTCCTCTGCCTGGCTTCTGGCGGGGGCCCCAGTCCTTTGCTGGCTGCCATGTCACTCTGTCACCACTTGGCACTCTCCCTGTGTGTCTCTGTCTGCTTATTAGGACACCAGTCACCTTGGACAAAGGCCCGCCCTACTGATGTGTGACTTCATCCCAACAATTACTCCAGTAACCCCCCGACTTTCGAAGACGGTCACACGCTGTGCTATCGGGGATGTTCCTTCAGTGTATCTTTAAGATTTTCTTTATTTAAAAAATTTAGTGACTGTAGTTAATAATACTGTATTGCATATTTGAAAGTTGCTAACAAAATAGATCTTAAAAGTTCTCATCACAAGAAAACAAAATTCTGTAACTATGTATAGTGACAGATGTTGTCTTGTGCTTATCATGGGGATTATTTCACAATATATGCAAATATCAAAGCATTACCTTGTACACCTAAAACTAATATAATGTGGTGTATCAATAATACGTCAAAAAAGGAATGCCAAAATTATCATCTTTATGTATCCTTCATACCACCCAAAGTAAACAAAAAACAAAGCCAAAATATTTTTAGATTATCTTTTTTAAAATAATATACAAGATATAAAATTTACCACCTTAATCATTTTTAAGTGTTCGGTTCTGTGACATTAAGCACAGTCACATTGTTACGCAACCATCACCACCGTCCATTCACAGAACTCTTTTCATTTTGCAACATTGAAACTCTGGACAAGTTAAACACTAACTCTTCATTCCCCTCCCCCAGCCTCTGGCAACCACCCTGGTACATTCTGTCTCTATGAATTCGACGACTCCAGGTTCCTCAAGGAAGTATAATCACACCGTATTTATCCTTCTGTGACTGGTCCCCTCACCAACCGCAAACCAGGCCTCTGCACAGTCCTGTGCTGGGCCTCGTGGCCAAAGAGGTGAGTGAGACAGTGCCTACCGCAGTGGGCTCTCAGGGGCAGGAGGAGGCGGGCACGAGCGAGGATCTTTTTGAATCCCAGTGGTCAGTGATGAGCACATTTGGGTTCTGGAGAAGGACCATGAGGGGGGCCTTTAACTTGGCCTAGGGGTCAGGGAGGGCTTCCTGGGAGAGACCAATGAAAGTCCAAGGACAGACCAAGAGCTGGAACCACACAGGCAAAGGTCAGGAGGTGTCAAATGCCCTGGGGAATGAAGAACGCCAGAAGAGGTTGGTATTACAGTAGCAGAGGAGACGGGGCAGGGAGAGGGAGGAACCAGAGGGCAGGTCAAGGGCTTCCAGCCCCGAGTTTGGACTCCACCCTGCAGGTAACTGAGGCTGTGGACAGAGGGGGTGAGAGAAATGAGAGCAATGGACAGGTGGCTACCGAGGCTGCCTCGGGAATGTCATGGGCATCCAGAAAGGGAGGAGAGAGGAGGTGGACTGCAAAGAAATGTTGGAGCTAAAACTGTTAGGGCCAGTATGGTGGGCAGAATCATGTCCCCAAAGAGGCCACGTCCTAATCCCCCAAAAGGATGTGGCTGTTATGTTACCTGGCAGGGGAGAACTAAGGTTAAAGATGGGATCATCTGACTGTGCGGTATAGAGATCACCTGGACTGATTGGGGCGGGCCAATGTAATCATAAAGGTCCTTAAATGTGGACGTGGGGAGAAGACTCAATGTCACAGTGAAGAAACACTCGGCTGGCCACTCCTGGCTTTGAAGATGAAAGGGGGTCACCAGCCAAAGGACGCGTGTGGCCTCTACACCTGGAAAAGGCCAGGAATGACTCTCCCCTCGGGGCCTCCAGAGGGACAGCGAGGCTCCCCACACTGGAATTTAGCCGGATAAGTGCTGCGACGAGAGAATAAATTTGTGCTGTTTTAAGCCACTAAGTTTGTGGTGAGTTGTTATGGCAGCAACAGGAAACTGATACAACTGGCGGTGGAAATGGAGACAGGGCTACGGGGGGGAGGGAGTATCGAGGGCATCCGGCTTGAAGACTGGAAGGATGGCAATGCCACCAATCATGAGAGGCCACAGGTGGGTAAACATGTGGGGAAGGTGAAATCTGTCTGCTGATCTGAGCTGCCTTCACTGGGTCCCCAGTGTAGGGGCTGGGGGGCTGTTCCATCATCACATTTGAGGGTGCAGTAGCTGTTGTAGGATGGATGGATGGATGATGAGATCCCCCACAATTCCTTGGGTCTCATTTTTCAAGCATCAAAACAATCACGCTTGATAAGCGTTCACTTAGTAAACAAGCCAGAGAAAGAGGATTTAAACTTGGAGGACCCAGGTCAAGGCTGGGTTAGAAGCCCAGAGCACAAACAAGGACACGGTGGGCTCTCAGGTGGGAAGAGATGCCTGCGTACCAGGCTTTTCCTGGAGGAGGGAGAGCCGGTGGGGCTGGCTGGAAACATTTCCCACTTCGCTTTACACAGCAATTCTTTACTGTTGTTTCTTTTCTTCAAAATACAAAAGGCGGGTGTGGGGGGGGGGTTGCTGGCTCGCAGGAGGAACGCCGGGCTCTTCCCCACCCAGGCCACGCTGGCCTCTCCGCCGGCTTCGTCCCCCGCCTCCCCCGGCCCTTTGTCTGGCTCCCGCGCTGCAGTGCACATGGTCCCCTGTCAAATTCTGGGCAGCTCCGGGGAACACGTGTGGAGAAGCTGGCAGCTCTGCCAGCCCCGGGTAACCATGGAAACAGCAGCCAATGGGAGGCCCGTATTGCCCGCAGGGGCGGGGCCGAGCGCAGCCGGGAACTGGAGGGCGGGGTGGGGTGGGGCGGGGCGGGCAGTCTCAGAAAACTGGGGGCGGGACCAGGTCACGCCCGCTGGAACCTGGGCAGTCGGCAGTACCTGGGTTACTCTCGCTCTTATCTGTACCACAGTTTTGTTAACATCTTGACAGCGTTTGCTTGCCACTCCTGGGATTTTCTTTGGCTTTAAGTATAAGGTTAAGATTCTAGAATCCAGCAGACCTGGGTTCAGATCCTACCAGCAGCACCGAGCTCTGTCCCTGGTACCAGTAACTGAACCTTTCTGTGCCTCGGTTTCTTCATCTAGGAAGTTAATATAAGGTCACTATAAAGCCCCAGAGAGATAATAGCGATTTGCCCAAGCCTGCTGAGCAGGTGCTCAGCAAACAGCAGTGACCCTGTGACGAAGGTCTTTCTTCTGACCTTCCAGAAAGGAGGACCCGGAGGGTGTGAAGAATCCACCCCTTCAGTTGGAGGCTCCCAGAGTGTTGACCTCTGGCTGATTTACCCAAGGTCAATTTCAACGCTGGCCTCAACCTGCCTGTCAACAGAATGGGAAGGTGGGCCTGAACTGTCAGGACCCTGAGTTCCTGGAATCGGACAGAGCTGAACACCCCCAGGAGCAGGGGCAGAAAGAAAGTTTTGGTGCCAAGAGCTGGGGGGGTAGAAAACAGGGTCTGGGCCCTGCCACCCCCCAGCCAGGGACCCACACAGTGTTCTTACCTCTCTGCACAAAAGCTTCTTGTAAAACAGTGAGGGTGGTGCCTGCTGACCTCCCGCTCAGTATGGTGGAGAATGCAAAATGAGGAAATGGATTCTCGAAAAACCTGTTTGTTTCCAGGTAAGCGGGAGAGATCAATGGAAGCAGAAACAGATGGCAGACTGTGCTGGGAGCGCTGGCTCCTCCCTCCGGGCGTCCCCAGGGTCCCGGGACCCTGGGGACACACCTCCACCAGCCAGGAGCATCCCTTAGCCAGAATGTTTCTCTCACTCCTACAAAGAAATGGAAACGCATTCATTCATCCACTCACTGATTCATTCATTCATCAGTTCATTCAACAAAGTTTTCTGTGAGTCTGCTGTGTGCCAGGTGCGCTGCTGGGGACCGGGGCTACAGTGGAGAACAAAACACAGCCCCTGCCCTGAATGAAGTCATCTGGCTGGGGAGACAGACAGTAAAGAAATAAACATTGCAAACAAACATGTGTCCACAAATATCCATGAGTGCCCAGAGAGGGAAATGAGGGAGCTGTGAGAATGAAGGAAATAAACAATGATTCTGGGGGAGAGAGCAGGGAGGGCGGGTCTCCCGGAGGAAGTGGTATTTCAGAGGCACCTAAGGGTGGAGCGGGCGGAGTAGGAGTTCGCCCGGTGAGGAGGGGAGGAAAGGTACTCTGGGCAAAGGGGACAGTGTGCCTTAAGGCTTTGGGCGTTCTTGGAGGGAGAAGTTCTGTGTGGCCCAGAGACCAGCAAGGGGAGAAGGTGCTGGCTGAGGGTCATGACCTTAGACAGGACCACAAAATAGCTTCATGCAGATTTACAGTGAGACATGCACCCTTGTTTTTCCATGTTATCCCCTTGGCTTGGCTCATACTCACTCTGGTCCCACCTGCCTTCTTCCTTTTCCAGTCTGAGGGCACTGGACTATTCGGAATCAGACAAGGTTCATCATCGCTCAGTGCACTCCACTATGACAGAAAAGGGGACACACCCCCATGAAAGACTTTTGACACCAGGGTTAGAATTAGGGTTGGGTTTGGGTTTGGGGCTAGGCTTCGATTTGGGGCTATGGTTAAGCTCAGAGTTAGATGTTGAGTCTTGGTTAGGGTTGGGTTTGGTTAGGGGTAGAACGGTATCGGGTTTGGGCTGGGATAAGGTTCACGTTAGATTAGGGTTCGTGTTGGGTCCAAGATTATGGTTGGCATTGGAGTTAGGGCTGGACTTGGGGTTGGTGCTGGTTGGGGTCTGGACTGGTGAGTTAAGCTCCATGAAATGTACACTGGCACTCAACAGACAATGTGGGACATAGTAGGTGCCCAGTGAATATTTTTAATGAATTAATTTGTAGTTTATTGTGAACCAGAAAGACGGAGTGGCCAGACAGCGTTACTTCCCGGGACATTCGAGTTATTTGTCTGTTTTG